GTACCTTAGAAGTTGAGGGTCCCTTTCTGCAGTTATTTTAGGTATCAAAGCCAAATGGGGGTTAAATTTAAAAATTATATTATAGTTGTAGTGCTAAGAAAAACAAAGAGGCTTAAGGTTATATTGGTGTGTTTGGTATGGAGGTCCAACTTTCCATGTTCTTGGAGAACATTTTCCCTAGGAAAACAAGTTCCTTACAAATGAGGAAAATGACTTTCCTAGTGGAAGTATGGAAAACAAGTCCCTCAAGTGTCATTTCACATTGATATGTGTCCTCAGGGGCGGACCCAACATATGTCAAGGGGTGTCGATCGACACTGCTTCGTTAAAACTTTTTAGTAATATATATATATATATAAGAATCTGAAAAATTCAGAATATAAGTAGAAATAATATTAATGACACAACTTGAACAAGTGAGTTTCCTAGGCTCATTGGTTTACTGTGCGGATGGAACAGTCATTCTCTCAAGTGTGGCCGAGTTCAATCCTCACCAAGCCCAAAATTAGGTTTTATTTTTTGGGGGCTTTTTCAGATAAAAGTAAATGTTGTGGGGATTTGACCCTCCAACCTCCGATTCCTAGTCAAATTAAGAAAATATAAACCAGTTGAACTAAAATACAATTTGTATCCTATTATAGAACTTCAATTACTTGTCCAAAACAGAATTAATAAGTTGTAGTAGTTTACTTGATTCAAGTTATATTAGTATGCTTTAAATAGTTTTTGTCAATATAATGTTGTTATATCATTCATTTATTTATTTACTTAAAAATATCAACACTGCTTACAAAAAATCCTGTGTGCACCATTGCGTGTCCTCCCTATCTTATCTTCACTCCTCCATGTAGCCTCATCTCCACTGCCCCCACCCTCACCCCCATAGTATTTTTCTAGATTGTATACAAAATAGTGCTTCTAGGATAATTTTTTTTTTGCTTCTGTACTGAACACAAGAAAATAAGTAAAAAACCCACTTATTTCTTGGTAAGCATTTTCCATGACAAGCATTGTCCTTCTCCTGAACACACCCTATGCCTCTTCTTGTTGGGAGCAGGGGTGATGGAAGATGTAGAGGGTGGGTGGTACATGTGCATATTGTTATTGTTTGGTTTCCATTTCATCATGTCAGCTTCTTTCATTTAACAGGTCAGTGTCGAAAATTTTGTTTAAATGTGACGTGCTTGATGCATAATTTCGTATCCTCATGCCCCCTTGATGCTGACAACTTACTGGAGAAAATACAAGAATATTATGACTATCATTATGTGTCTGATCACTCAACTAGAGTTTATCACGTATAAGTTGGTTCATCAGTCTTTATCATTTATATGTATTTCTTGCACCACCTAATAACTTATTTTGCTATATCTTTATTTATATGTTTAGCATCTTTTTTTGTAGGAGCGCGAAAGAGACCACTTCTCTCAGTTCATAACTGAAGGATTCTTCGTTTTCAGAGTATAACTCTTGGTAGAAGTCAAGAATTACCTCTTTCACCTGCTCTTTTCCTTCAATGAGGTCATCTCCTACCTGCAATCTGTCAATGTGGTTGTATCTCCTGTGGGAGTTGGCTATTCTTTGAAAGTATTTTGTATTCCTATCCCCCTCTTTTAACCATAGACACCGCGATTTTTGTCTCCAAGAGGTTTCCTCTGCCTTTGCTAATTGTTGAATCTCTAGTTGCAATTGCAATATTTTGTTCTTTTCAACTTGAGACCGGACCCTTCCTTCAGTTGCTTGTTCTGTCAGCAGAAGATCATCCATGGCTTTACTGATTCTGGAATTTAGCTTACCAAAGACCTCCTTGTTCCAGGTAACAAGGTCTTTCTTCAAAAATTTTAATTTTTGGGAGAGTATAAAGTCTGGAGAGCCATTTACTATATAACCTTGCCACCATTTTTTGACCATATCATGAAAACCTTCATGCTGCAGCCACATGTTCTCGAATTTGAAGTAGGAAGGATCAGAAGTCCAATCGCCACTCTCTAGGGCTAAGGGACTGTGGTCGGAGAGAACCCTTGGTAGGGCCACCTGCTTCACAACTCCAAAGAATTCATTCCATTCAGCGGAAATTAAGAACCTATCAATTCTGGAAGCCTGCAGAAAGTCCTCTCCCCTTGTCCATGTATAAGTTGCACCATGCAAGGGGAGATCAATAAGACCCATGTCTTGAATAAATTCAGAGAAGTCCTTCATGTCCTGGGATCTCCTTATACAATTGTGCCTCTCATGTTCATATCTACATACATTAAAGTCACCACCTATGACCCAACATCCATCCCAAATGCCTCTGACAGCAGCCAACTCATCCCATAGGTCAAGCCTTTCTGGAGTTGAGTGAGGTCCATACACCCCAGAGAAACAGAATCTGAAGTCCACCTGCAAACCCTCCCACATGGCAGAAAGAGTATGCTGCCCTTGGTAAGAGTCTAAGCATTTCCATTGTCTTTTGTCCCACAAAATAATAATGCCACCCCTGGTACCACTTGCTTTCAGTTCAACCCATTCGACCCATCTTGATCCCCAAATATGTCTTGCTATTGCCACAGAACAACACTCTGTTTTTGTTTCCTGTAAACACAAGATGTCAGGCTTCCATTTTTGAATAAGTAGCTTGATGGTGCTTCTTTTGCTTATATCATTAAGCCCCCTTATATTCCAACTGATAATTTTTGCTTTCATTCTGAGAAAGCCTTGTGGAACCTGCCCCTACTTGACCCTTCTCCATTCTCATAATTAATAGTGCACTGCAACTTCTTGGCCACAATCTCACCTTTTTCCTTTGATCTTTTCTTCTGTTGCTCTTTCCCCTTTGATTTCTGCAACTGTAACTTCCTCTTTTGTTCCATTCGCAGTATCATATCGAAGATTTCGTGCTCAAACCCCACTGAATTGACCCCAAAGGCTTTACAAGCTTTAGTCATCACTATCTTGGTCCAATGAGAGGTTTCAATAACTGTCGGGTGTGAAATAACCTGTTCCTCCAAGCTGTCACCGGACCAGGGTAGTGACAAAGTGTCGCTACTAATTGGGGAAGAGAAACCTGAATCTTGAGAACACCCAATAGAGAAGTCAGAGTGGATAGGAGGAAGAGAGAGAAGAGATAGAGGTCGCATGCATTCAGCTTCGTCGTCTGCGTCTCCCTCCCACTCATCAAGAGAATCAGTTTGCGTTAGGGAAGCCAACAATGGCTTTTGAGACAACTTAGCATTCGACTGTCGTTCCGAAAGCTTTTGTGTCTCTGCCACTATAGATTGGGCTTGGGCTGGCCTAATAGCCTTCCACTCCTTTAATATCTCCTTCTTTTTATTGAGATGCAAGTTCCCCTTTTTCCTCCTTGAATAATAAAGATGGTCTGAAGTCTTTTGCTGCAACTGGGCCTTTGCCTTAAGTTGGCCCAAAGTTGTCTTAGAATTCCCTAGGGTCCTCAGCTGATTTGAGATTTGAATCAATAGGCTGCTCATTCTGCAAAACATAAACTTGGTCTGGAGTCTTCTGCTGCAATTGGGCCTTTGCTTTAAGTTGGCCCAAGGTTGTCTTAGATTTTTTGGGCCCAACCCTAGGGGCATCAGCAGATTTCAAATTTGAATTGATAGACTGCTCAGTTTTCGAGACACAAACTTGTTTGGACCGCTGGTTAAAACCCTGTTCATCAGAATCACCGGCAACTGAGATTTTCGAGAAGGCATCGGCAATAATGGATATTTCATAAATTTTACCGCCTACTCTCAAATCAATTTTGTGTGGAGGTTCTCGTGCTACTGCTGGAATACAAATCCGAGCCCAGAGAATATGATTTCTCTTCTTTGTGTCCTCATCTGCACCGATATAACCACCACAACAGTCCCCGATAAATTTCAGAGACTTTTCCGACCATGCGTGAAGCGGGATGCCAAAAGCCCTAATCCACCTCTGATTTGCTACTAATTCTTCTTTAGAGTTATCTGTCCCTGATTCTGGAGACCACCACTCAAGTGATAATCTTCTCCCATTCCAAAACCATTCCCCCATTATTATTCTCTCCGCTTCTTGCCTAGATGGAAACTCGAACATCATCTGGTTATGTGTGAGCTGTAGGACGCGCAACCCTGCCGTCATCTTCCACCTTTTCAGGAACCACTGATGGATGACTGTTGGATTTGGACTCGAGCTGAAAGGGTCATTGAAGGTTCCAACTAAGCAACACTGCAAGTATTCCTGTAGATTCTCCAATTCAGAATGAGACTGAGAGCTCATAACTGGCCATTTCTGGATATTTGCAGCATCCATGAAAGATTTCCCTGGGGTAACAAACTTCCGGAGAGCTGGGTTAACTGGCTCACCCAAAGATCTGATAATTTTGTCAGCTAAATCACTCCACCCTACATTGTAATCCATCTCCGGGATGATAATAGCTGATTTTCTTTGGCCCCTCAATGTTTCTACTCGAAGAAATCTCCCATAAGAGTTGAAGTTCTGATATACTCTGAACAGATCCCCCTCCTTAAGCCTGCCCCATCTTCTATAAAGGTCCCCAACACCTTTGGAAGCTAATCTCATAACACTGCATACCCATCTTAAAATGACTTCGTCGATCTTAATCTTACTGACAAACCGACTACTGAACTCCTTGAACAAGAACCACCTAAAAGAACCTACACTGATATCATTTATTTCAAAAGACTTATCACTGGAAATGAAAAAGCACACCCTGTCACCCATACTAAGAGATCGTATGATTAAAATTCCACCGCAAAGTAAATAATTTTGTCCCCCATGGTAAAGAAAGGCTAATTCCGGTAGGAGTTGCCGGAAAAGGATCAAACAAAGTAAGAGAGAGAACCTAGGACAGGTTCCCCTTGGGAGCTGTGCCTGGGAGCATATTTTTCCTTTTTAAAGTACTCCCTCCATTTAAATTTGTTTGTCTTTATGAATAGAAATGTTATGAATAGAAATGTTATGTAGCTAAGCTAAGTTATTTAGAGGTTTTGATGAATTCTGCTATGCATGTATGACAGGCTGCAAGTGCTGTAGCTTCAGCTACAATGACACCAATGAGTGTTGAAGCTCCTCCCAACAAGCTACTGGAATTGGTTGCAAAGGTTTTTATCAGTTGGTAGCGTTTGACTTTGTTATGCTTTCACTGATTTTCAGCTGCTCAACATGGGGTAAGAGAATAGATGTATAAAAACTTCTTTATCACTCTAAGCCGTTAACAGGGTCTTGCAGTTGACAAAGATGAAACACTGAGAGGAGTTTCTACAGCTGTACCTTTTGATCCAATCGTAACTGCTGGATATGGCTCAATCCCAGCCCCTCGGGCTGCATCTGTTGATTTCAGGCAATTTATCTCCCATCACACTATTTTCTTAATAACCTAAAGGGTTTAACAGTTCTCTTTTATAAGTTAGAGTGTTGAAGTGCAATTAATGCGTTATCGGTTGACCAAGAGTTTAAAATCCTTGCCCTTCCCATGCTGATGTATGCAGTTGACAAGTTCTACTATGAGTGAAAAGGAGGAAGTTATCTGGTGATTGTGGGAAATGTTTTGGATACTTGAGTTCTAATCTTCTGTAATCAAGAGTAATAACTAATTAGGGAATGATTCGCCTGTTTTTATGTATGGAAAAACTAGAGTGTCCAATTGACTATCTTTTTCCAAAACTAGAGTATCCGATTGATCATCTTTTTTCCTTTTTTCATTATTTACATCTTTCAATAACTGATTAGCTGCTGCACCTTTTGAACCAATCATAATTTTTATTCTGTATATAAGCTAAGTTCTGTACTGAATTTATGCATGAGGGTGAACCTTTATTGTGTAACAGCTTTCATATTGAGCTAGGTCATGTCAATCATAGAACTCTTCTTTGTAGACACTGTAAGTGTGATCCTTCATTAGATCCTTTTGATCCGTGCATCACGAGATCTAGCAGTGGCTTATACACTATAGCGGGCCATCAAAATGTATCTCATAGTCATTTGACCTAAGAAGAATGTCTCAAGATTTCCAGAGTGGGCTCACTTTCAGATTTCAGGATTCACCATAAATTAACTTATCTGTCTGGACCATGTAAAGACCATTTGCTGGCTTGATCTGCATCTGTGTGATAAATGTTTCTTCTTTCTTGTAACAAATTTATGAATGATGTTAAGCTTGTCATTTGTTGGAGTTCTGATAATCAATTTGCTTTGCAACAGTAGCATGAACGATACAAAAGGGCCGTCAAAAAATATCCCAAAGCATGAGTCACGACATATTTCTGAGCACAAGGTTGTATCTTAAACAAAACTGTAGGTTGTATGAGCTCTCGTCTTTGTTTCAATTGCCAATTTCCAGCATTAAGTTTTAACACAAGAATTTTCTTTTAGAATGTTGCAAGGTGTGCCAGATTTAGCCCTGATGGAAGATTTCTTGCTACTGGAAGTGCAGACACATCAATTAAATTGTTTGAGGTATTGTATCATTTCTTTAGAACTCTTAACTTTCATTCTTCTACTTCTAATGCAAAAGCGTTAACTTGTGCAGATTGCAAAAGTTAAGCAAATGATGCAGCCAGAAGCAAGGGATGGCCCAGTGAGGCCTGTTATACGGACTTTTTATGATCATCAACAAGTAAGATCTTGATTGTGTGATACTTACATTTCTTGATTCAGGTGTCCCGGTATAAAACTTTTTAGGTCAGTTAATTTGAACATTGGTTCAAAAGATCTCTCATTATCCACTATATAAGTAAGACGTTTACTGGATTACTCTACCAAATTAAAGTTCACTGAACTTGTTTGTATGATTTTTTGCCTGTGGATGCTCCTCTCATAAAATGGTAAAAAAATATAAAAAGTGGAGCATATCTCTTTTATCATTTTTTCTAAAGGGAGTATATAGCTGAGTAAGTTGAACGTCATATTATCTCTGGCGATGTGATGGTGTGCTTCCCTTTAATTACTGATAGCACCACCTCTCTCTCTATTCCTATGAATCTCAGTTTCTGATGTGTGACTATGTCAGGATTTTCCCTGTTTCTTACCCAAAACTTGTACATAACTGCAGCCTATAAATGACTTGGATTTTCATCCACAAAATACAGTACTCATATCTGGATCAAAAGATCGCACCATCAAGTAGGATTTATTATTAACTGTGAAGTTGCCTAATATGTTTGTCATTGGAATATTACCTAACTACTTTTTCCTTTTGGCTTCTTTCAGGTTCTTTGATTTTTCCAAAACAGTAGCAAAGAGAGCATTTAGAGTGATTCAGGTCACTCAAATGTTATTAAATTTTGAAACCAAACATTAAGCTTGAATTTAGCTTAGAAAATATACTAACTGTTCTACTTGATTTGGATTAAATGTTTCAACAGGATACACATAATGTAAGGTCGGTGTCATTTCATCCTTCCGGGGACTATCTTCTGGCAGGCAAGTAAATTTCTTTTCAAGTTAGATACTGTACTGTGGGCTACTATTTACTAGTTAGGTGAACTTAAAACTTATTTGATGATGCTATTTCAGAGGTGAATTTAAACCTGATTTAATGATGCTATGTCGGACAACTTTTTATCCCTGAAGTTATCTATGATCTTTTTCCCAAATACTAGAGAAATAGGGAAGTCATACTTTTACAGGTTTCTACCAGAACAAAACAAGCAATCTTTGCCTATGCTATGAAGTGTAAAAATCTGTTTGTCCATCTTTTCGGTATTGGTGATCAAATCTCGTAATGCAATATATTCTTTGTGTATGTGCTAATCCATTCTGTGCAGTTACTTCTAACTAGATTTTTAGGTGTCTTTTTTGTTAAGTATTTTTTTTTTTTTTGAAACAGGTAACTTTGATTTCTTGTTAAGTAATTCTTTTTTGCATTATTCACTGCTGAACAAAGAAACGTAACTTTATATTATTCACCAAACTCAGCACTAAGGAAATGCTGTGAATAACAGAAGGAGTAAAGCCATCCCAATAACAAATCTACAGAACCTATGAAATCCAAAATATCATTTACATCATCCACAAAATGAAAATTAAACTACAGTTAACAAAGTTAAATTAGAAATGCTCTCTGGCACAGTTCTCGAGGCAGTTCTCTCTCCTCCTCCTAGGTGGGAGAGCCCTCTCTCCTCCAGCACCCTTCCGCCAGAATTCCTTCCGCACACCTATTGCCTCTGGTAATTACCTCATGTGATTATTCTTCTTTTCTTTCTACTCTCTTGCTTAGTCAGGCCATGGGGGAAAATAGGATTTATTTTAATGCTAGTTTCAAGTCTTTTGATATTACCAAATGGAATGATGAAGGCTCTGTTTGGTATGAGTGGGTGGAAAGAAGTCGAAGAATGATGTGAAGAACTACCGTGAGCAGTAAGGTGATGGAATGGATCTGTTTCCTGCTAAGAGAAGCTTCCACTGATCATAAGAAAGTCACAAGGAGATGGAGATATACTGAAAGAAAAAAGGAATACTTCTGCACTAGGAAACATAATGAATATGAGAGATATATGAGCATTGTAGCCATTAATGTGGGGGGTAGATCTGTTAACATTATTCCAGAACCAGTCTTGAATGCTGGATGGTACGATTTAGCATTTAAGATAGAAAACTTCATTAAATGCACCAAAAGGTCGATACCAACGAGTTTACCAAGACTTGTAAACTCCGGATACCCCTACTCAAAGGCTGTAAGGGACAGCAAATGGCTATAAAAAACCCACAAGGAGACAAGCTCAGCAGAAAAGCAAGAGGATGGGCTTTTGGGTAGGTGTCTTGTAGGGTATCTGGAGAAGGCCAGCAAAGAGAAACCTTCTTTGTCTGAAATCAGAATTTCCCAATAAATTCATGGCGGAACAAACTCTTCAAGGTTAGTGGAAATGGAGAAACCTAAGTTTCAACCTAGAATGGTGGAGCCCAGTTGTAGGCTGCATGCCGAACTCTGTGGAAGTTAAAAAAACTTGGAATAAAAATTATAGGGATCCCCCTACATCTGTGGTCACAACAAGTATTTGAAGAAATAGGGCAACTCTGTGGTGGTTCATGGTTGGGTGGCAATGGAAGAGGAGACAGAGTTGAAGAACCATATGAAGTGGGCAAGAATTTTGGTTGCAAACAGTGGTAGAAATATACCGAAAGAGGTTTCGATTTCGCGTGGCGGAATCAGATACCATTTTCTGGTATGGGTTGAAGGCAAAGCAAGATATGAAATCTTGCTAGAAAAAGTTTTGAATCTCGCCGGAGAAGAAGATAACAATTTGAAAGCAGGGTATGTTATGGACCAGGTGATAATAAGGAGTAACTACTACAGTACAAAAATCCCCTTTTACTAGGGATCCTAGTACAAATACCCATGTGGGGAATGGAAAGTTGACAGCTGTGGTGGTACCCACTGAGTCATATGAGAACCATGTGACCTCTTTAATGAAGGAATCTATTATGGGCCTTAGGTATAGGCCAGAACAATTAAATGAAGAGTATAATGGACCAGATCCAACAAGCCTATTTATTTTTAATAGCATATCCAGTTCCACCCAGCCCAATCCAGTAGAAGATTGGATTCTTCAAGATAAAGAAACATAGTTCTGCCCAAAGACATTGCAAGGAGCACAACAGAATACTGAGAAGGAGATAACAACAACAGATTCGAGTGGTATTTTGGGTGATGTGGCTGTGCTAAATATGGGAGAATCAGAGGCACAAGTTCCAATTGGGGAGGTGATGATTGGGAGGGAGGAAAAAGAGGTATGCAATATTGAAGACCAAAGAACTTTGACCTCTGTTGAAGAATGGGAAGTCGAAGAAGCAGAGCCACTATACACTCAATAACAACTGTTAATCACAGAAAAAGAGAGAAGTTTCTGCTTGGGTGAAACAGAATTTGATCAAACTGGGAAAATTGTTTGGGGCTGACTTCCAAGGTCATGAAGAGGAAGCTATGGAACTGTTACTACAGGTGGACAGTGCCAGACAAGCCAGACAAGAAGACAAGGTTCAAGGGCTCTAATGAATTGAAATTTTTTGTAGCTTTTGATGTGAAGTTCAAAAGTGGGGTAGAGATAAGGGGAGAAACTTCCTAACTATTTCTTGATGCAATTTAAACTTGTCTCATGGAATCTAAGGGGTTTGAACAGTAGGGACAAACGGAGAGCTGACATTATTTGTCTTCAAGAAACCAAACTAGAGGGGGATCTTACTGGGCTAGTAATGCAAATTTGGGGTGGTAGATGGATCAGAATGGCATGTTTGGAAGCTAGTGGGACAAGAGGAGGATAATGATGCTTTGGGATAGTAGAATATGGAAAGGGGAAGTTTTAGAGATCGGGACATATACCCTCATGCCATATAACAGGAGTATATGCTCCAAATTGCTATGTGGAACGAAGATCAGTATGGGAAGAAATTGGCTCTATCAGAGGTTTAATAGAAGGTCCATGGGCAGTTTGTGGTGATTTTAATGAGGCTAGATATGTCTTAGAAAAGAGGAACTGTATAAGGAGAACAATAGGGATGCGGGAGTTCTCTGATTTGATCAAGGATCTAAACCTAGTTGATCTTCAACTGGAAAATGCAAAGTTCACCTGGTTCAAAGGGGATAACCACCTGATAGCTTCAAGAATTGACAGGGTCTTGGTATCTCAAGAATGGGATGATGCTTTTAGCAACTTGAAACAGTACACTATACATCGAATAGTGTCAGACCACTCTCCAATCACACTCCAAGGTGGTTCCCGGAAGAAGAGCAAGAGCTATTTTAAGTTTGAGAACTGGTGGTTAGGGACTGAAGGTTTCATTGACAGCGTAAGGATATGGTGGAACTCTATTGATTATATTGGGAGGCCTGATTACATCCTTGCATCCAAATTAAAAGCCTTGAAACACAAATTGAAGGAGTGGAGCAGAAGTGAGCAAGGGAATCTTGTCCGACAGAGGAGAGTTTTACTTGAAAAGCTGGCTGCTATGGAAAACATTGCTACTGATAGAGGTCTAACTGAGGATGAGGCAACAAAAAAGGCAAGTTTACTTCTGAACTTGGAGGATTTGATAAAAAATGAGGAGATCTACTGGAGGCAAAGATCAAGATCAATTTGGTTAAACGAAGGGGATAAGAACACCAAGTTCTTCCATAAGATAGCTAATGCACACAAGAGGTACCATAATGTATAGCAACTTCTAGTCTAGGGGAACATTATCCAAGAACCAAAAAGAATCCAAGGGGAAATAGTGGAGTTCTATCAGAAGCTTTATACATAGGAGTTGCAGTGGAGACCTGCCAACAAATTTTTGAATTGCCCAAGGTTGACAGGGGAGGAAAAGAAGGATCTTGAAAGAAGCTTTGACCAGGAAGAAGTTCTAAGGTGTTTACAGCAGTGTGCAATTGATAAAGCACCAGGACCAGATGGCTTTACTATGGGGTTTTAAATCAAATGCTGGGAGGTGGTGAAAGGTGACGTAATGGAGAATTTTCAAATCTTCCATGAACAAGGGAGGTTTAGACCTATTAGCTTTTTTAGGTAGTATGTATAAGATCTTTTCAAAAGTGCTTACCGAAAGGCTGAAAAAAGTGATGTCCAAGCTTGTCGATTCATAACAATTAGCTTTTATTAAAGGGAGACAGATAATGGATGCAGTCCTCATAGCTAAATGAAGCTGTAGATTCCAGGTTAGTCTAAAAAAACCAGGAATTCTATGCAAATTAGACATTGAGAAGGCATATGACCATGTCAATTGGGACTTTCTTATGGGTATGCTAGAGAAGATGGGTTTTGGTCACAAATGGAGACAGTGAGTTAAATTTTGCATATCTTCAGTGAACTTCTCAGTATTGGTAAATGGCTCTCCAACATGGCTCTCCAACAGGATATTTTAGGTCACAGAGAGGTCTTAGGCAGGGTGATCCCCTATCACCCTTCCTTTTCATACTAGTCATGGAGGGACTCAACAATATGATCAAGAATGCATGCAATGAAGGGTGGCTGAGAGGTTTTGAAGTTGCTAGAGCTGGAAGGGAATGTCTAGAGATCACTCATTTACAATATGCAGATGACACCCTGATCTTTTGTGATGCCGAGGAAGACCACCTTAAATGTTTTTTTTTTTTTGAAACTGGTAATGTTGTATTCCTCAGCATTAAGGTATGCTGGAGACCTCCAAAAAGGTAGTAACAAGCTAAAAAAGAGACTAATTACAGTAATCCTAAAAGATCTACTAATTGTTCAGCATTTTCTATACAATGATATTAAGACTCATTCTAGTTATTTTTGAAGCTATGTCTGGGCTACATGTCAACCGGAGGAAAAGCTTCTTGTATCCAATAAATGAAGTACCAAGCATGGAAATTTTGAAGTCAATATTGGGAGGTGAAGTATCTGTCCTCCCAACCACATATTTGGGTATGCCTTTGGGGAAAAATCCAAGTCTATGGAGATCTGGGATGGGGTGATTAAGAAGTGTGAGAAGAGGCTAGCAAGGTGGAAGTCTCAGTACCTTTCATTATGGGGAATACTAACTTTGATTAATTCTTTGCTTGATGCACTTCCAACATATATGATGTCATTGTTTCCTGTCCCACCGGGAATCATCAATAGGTTGGATAGCATCAGGAGAAAATTTTTATGGCAAGGGAACAAGGAAAGGAGAGGGTATCACTTAGTCAAATGGAAAACTGTGATCACTGAAAAGAGAGTTGGGGGTCTGGGGATCAAGAACATGAAGAACCAGAGCAAAGCTTTGAGGATGAAGTGGCTTTGGAAGTACTCAAATGATAATCAGAATTTATAAGGCTCAGTCATAAAGGCAAAATATGAAGTGAGTGATAGTTGGATGACAAAGGAGGTTACCACCCCTTATGGTGTTAGCTTATGGAAATCCATTAGAGAACTTTGGAATGAATTCAGACCTAACACCAAGATCAAAATGGTAGATGGCATAAAAACTAGATTCTGGAAGGATGATTGACATGCAAAAGGAAATATGGAGACTCTCTTCCCTGACATCCACAATTTAGTTCTTCAGCAACAAAGTACTATAGCTGACTTATGGACTCCTCAAGAGTGGAATTTTGTATTTAGAAGACACCTCAATGACTAGGAAATTGCAAGAGTAACATAATTTTTTAGATGCATTGATCAATTTAGTGGTCTGGAAATAGGGTGGGACAGATTGCAGTGGTTGGGAAACAGTAAAGGGATTTTAAAGTAGGTGCAGCATACAAGAAGTTGAACCATCAAAATCTGCAGTTACTCAAGTGGCTCTGGAGACATATATGGAAAGCCAAGATCCCCTACAAGGTGTCTTGCTTTGTGTGGTTATTGGCTAAAGAAGCAGTATTGACACAGGAGAATTTAATGAAGAGGAGAATTACACTTTGCTCTAGATGTTTTTTTCTGTGGGAAAACTGCAGAAACAGTCCATCATTTGTTCATCCAATGTGAAGTCACTGGCCAGCTGTGGAATTTGTTCCTGAGACTTAAAAACATCTCCTGGTCCATGCCTAGGAGAATTTCAGAGGCTCTACATAGCTGGGAAGAAGCAGGGACACAAGCAAAAAACAGAAGTAACTAGAGAATTGTCCCTGCCACTATTTTTGGTGGACAATATGGAAAGAGAAGAACCTTACAGTTTTTGAGAATAGGGAGAATAGTATGCAACAAGTTAAACTGAATTGCATTTTGACTCTGTGTTTTTGGTGTAATCAAATTTACTCTAATGATACCGTCTCTATCATTGACGTCTTAGATTCATTATAGGGATAAGTCGGTATTATTAGAGTTCCTTGTGTAAATACGGGTTTCAGTACATAGGCTATAGAAATAGCAACAATTACCATTTAAAAAAAAAAATGAAAATTAAACTAAATGTTAAGGCAGTTGAGAAAAAAAAGCCTTCTATCTATGATATGATACCTGGTTGACTGAATCAACATGTGATGTTGGCTTATAAATCTTAAAAGAGAAATGAAGCTCCGGAGGGCAGCTCGTCGATGATTGATCTCAATTCCAACCAAGAGGAAATATAGATCCAAAGGTGTTGTAAGTTGTAACTACCTAATATGAAGTACAAAAACTACTACAACAACAACATACCAGTATGGTTCTACGACTGGGGTCAGGGGAGAGTAGAGTGTACGCAGACCTTATCTCTACCTGAGCTTTCGAAAGACCTTAGGCTCAGAGAAAGCATAAACACAACATTTATGAATGCATAAACAATAGCAGTATAGTAAGAAAATAGAGGCATACAAGACAAGTAGTAGAAAAATAATAACAATACAGAAAAAGTAAAATAATAAAAATATCGAAAATAATACTAATACTACTAGCCAGAAAGACCATATGCAAAACTATTTATTTTTAGTCTTCTACCCGAATCCTCGACCTCCATACCCTCCCATCAAGGGTTATGTCTTTGGTAAGCTAAAGTCTTGCCATGTCATCACTTCTCCCCCATACTTCTTCGGTTACCCTTAGTCCTTACCTTCCCTCCTGCCTTCCAGTGTCAACCTCCCACACCTCCTCACTGGGCATTTGTACATCTCCTCTTGACATGTCTGAACCTTGTCAGCCTAGCCTCCCATATCTTGTCCACCACAGAGGCAACTTCCACCCGCATATCATAACCTATACCCAATAACATCCCTAGCCTTAGAACCCACCCATCTGGTCTCCGGAGCACAAGTTATACTGATCTTCCTCTTCTTGAGAATCTTCACTAACTCTATACACTTCCCCGTCAGAGTTCCTATGTTGCAAGATACTAACACTACCACTAATCTACAAAAAGAGAAGTGTCTTAAGACAATGGAATATACGCACAACACTACACTATGCTACTGCAATATATATCTCTACAAGGGCGGAAGATAAGGGTTGAAAAGTGCAACCAGAGGTACCAACTCCTGGCGGATAGAACGTGGGTGTAGGCCGGAGATATCTACGCTCTGCTGCTGGTCTAGACTGAAATGATTTGCCGACGCTCACGCTCCGACACATACTGCTGCTGCCCCTGCAACTGGAGATTACTGTTCGCTGCTCAGTGTGCACCTGTACTACCAGACCCAAAGAAAGAAGAAAAAGAAAAAGAAAAAGAAGAGGAAAGAAGCAACTAAAAAGGAAAAGAACTAGAGGACAGAGAAGGTGGGGCGATGACTGTGGCTGATCCTAAACCCACAGCAGCGGGCTGGTGGTTTATGGTTCTCGGTGAAGAGAAAAAAGAAAAGAAGAAAAAGAGATAAACTAGAGTCTAGAGGGAAGAAGACTGTTGCAGACCCTAGATTAGCAGCTAGGGTTTCTGCAAAGGAGAGAAGAAGGGGTGGAGAGGAGAGAGAAGCGGTCTGAGAAGAAGAGAGAGAAGAGAAGATGACTTACCTGGTGCAGCCTCCTGGTGGTCACCAACCGGAGTTAGGTCCAAGGGAGGTGGGGAGGGGAAGAAGACCGTTCAATGACATTGAGCGTTAGAAGAGAGAGAGAGAGAGCATTAGGAATTATTCACATTAGTGAAATTACTTCAAGTACAAAAACTGTTAATAAAAATTCCCACCATAGTGGACGGTAAGCTTTCTTCTTAAGACTTGGAATCTAACCAGTTAAAATTGGTTAGAGAACCAATTATTCGATTATGTATCATATGATTGTCTATTGTCCTATGTTTCCATATCATTTACTGCTAACTCATTCAGATGAAGCAGCAGCAGTATTGAACACGATTTGCATTATGCCGATTGGCTAAATTGTCTCATGATAATGTTAGTTGTTACAGGAACTGATCATTCAATTCCCCACCTATATGACATTAACACTTTCAAATGCTACCTGCCACCAAATTTCCAAGATATGGGTGTCAATGGTGCTATTAATCAGGTAAATTGGGTATCTAGTATGCATTGGTCAGAGGATTCTTTACTCACCATTATATTTCCTTACAGGTTAGGTATTCATCTACCGGTGGAATGTATGTAACTGCATCCAAAGATGGTGCAATTCGGTTATGGGATGGGGTAACAGCTAGCTGTGTGCGATCTATAGATGGTGCACATGGAGCGGCAGAGGCTACAAGTGCAAATTTCACAAAGGATCAAAGGTAAGAGATCCCTAATGGATACAGCTTACAAGTTAGGACCAGGAGCTTTTTCTTCAATTAGAGAAAAGAAGACAAAGAAAGAAAAAAGAACAAGAGGTTTATTCCACTTGAACCACTGCCTAGGTATGAATAGGTTTTTTTGTTTCTTTTTACGTTGTGGAGGGTGGGGAACTTGTGAAAAGAGCTACCAATGAGAATCTTCTCGTCACACCCAAAGGTGTTGCCTAGTGGTCAATGAAGTGGATGAGAGCGATGAGGTCTCAGGTTCGAATCCCAGCCGAGACAAAAACACTAGGTGATTCTTCCCATCTGTCCTAGACTTGGTGGATAGAGTTATCTGGTACCTGACGCTGGTGGTGGGAGGTGACAGGTATCTCGAGGAATTAGTCGAGGTACGCGAAAGCTGGCCGGACACTACGGTCATCAAAACAAAAAAGAATCTTATCTTCATGTTTTATCACAAAGAAATTCCAGTAAAGTATGGCTTGCTTGACTACCAAGTTTATCTGGTATACTGCTCATGCTCTTAGACAAAAAGAATTGATATTCATCTTTTGTATCAAATTGTTATTTGCGACCCTATGTGGTCTATTTGACATCAGGTTTTATCTCTTATTTACACGTGGAACTTGCTTTACTTTTTATGTGAGATATTCTTGATATTTTTTATTTTTTTTGACAATGAGATAGTCTTGATGTTTTTTTTTTGGTAAACTGCATATTTTCATTCCTAACCAAAAGTGTGTCTTTACAAACAGAGCAGTATTGGACTACCTGCTCACTCATCTATACAAACAGATTCTACTAATCCATAGCCTTCTATACAGTACTTTCTATATAGATCAGTGATCTATTGCTATCTGTATCTAATCAGAAACTAAGGATAAACATTGAGTTGTTGAAGTGCTATCCATTTTACCCTGGTCTGACTCTTGATGTGCATATGCATCACTATTTCGGGTATTTCCTTCAACACTTCATCAGTGTTCATGCTCCCTTTCTGAAATCTGATCTTGTTCCTTTCTCTCCATATGACATACACTAGCATACCAAAAACATTGCTTACAACTTCAGCTAGTCCAGCCTTCTTCTTTGCCAGCATACATACCCATTTCACTTCTGTCTCCCAGTCCTGAATAGCTCTTGAGAAACCCAGCCATACACACAATCTATTCCACAATGCCTTTGTCTCCTGGCATTCAAAGAATAGATGGCTGAATGTTTCTAATGTCAATCCACACTAAGCACAATCAGGAGGGACTTGAATCCCAAGCTTAATCAGCCTGTCAACAGTTGCTAATCTCTTCTGAACAGCTAGCCATACAAAGAACTTGACTCTTGGATGAATTCTGGGGTATATTGCTATGGCCTTCCAGTCAACTCTAGGAAATTGAGGCATCAGTCTTGTGTACATCTTATGTATGGAGAAATTGTCACCTGATTGGGTTTCATCAAAAGCTGAACTCAAGTCTCCTTGTGTTGTTTGTCCCTGTAGTATCCATTTCCTTGCTTCCAATATCTTCCTCACAACCCAAGAAGCATTCTTAGGTATTTGGATTGTTTCAATAACTTTCCTTCTTATAAAATAGCTGTGTACCCACTGGATCCATAAGCATTCTTTATTTCTTGCTATATTCTATAATTGTTTCAATATTGCAGCTCTATTTCACTTACTAAATTGATAATGTTCAGGCCCCCAGCTGCAAAAGGTTTGCAAATATTCTCCCAAGAAACCAATGCTTTCTTTGATATGGTCACATTTCCAGTGCACAAGAAAGTTCTACAATTCTGTTCAATACTCTTCATCACCTTCTTAGGAGTCAAAAATATTTGGGACCAGTAAGCTTGCACCCCAAACAAGGCTGACTTGATCAATTGTACTCTTCCATCATAGGATAGTAGTTTAGCATACCAACAAGTGATCTTTGCAGTAATTTTCTCAATAAGTGGCAAGAAATGGTTCACACTGAGCTTTTTAGATGCTAAAGGCACTCCTTAATATCTGTATGGAAGGACACCTTCAAGATATCGTAGCTCCTCAAGAATCTCTTCTTTTGTGTGATTGGCAACCCCAACAATATATAGTGAGCTTTTATCTAATCCAGATGCCTTGGGAAACTTCGTGAATGCTTCACTTAGCAACCTAACAGAGATAATGTCAGCCCTGCAATACATCAATAGATCATCTGCAAAACAAATATGTACACTGCCCAACTTCCTGCACCTTGGGTGAAAGTTGAAGTTCCCATTCCTAGCTAATTGATTCAGCTTTCTTCCCAAGTACTCCATAGCCAAGACAAAAAGATAAGGGGACATAGGGTCCCCTTGTCTAATGCCTCCTTTGGCAATAAAAGGAGGAGTCAATCCTCCATTAAGCATCAAGGAATAGGACACTATAGACACATGTGTGATAATCCAATGTATAAATTTGGCAGGAAACCCCATGTCTATTAACAATTTCCTTATAAAGCCCCATTCCAAAGTGTCATAAGCTTTCCTTAGGTCCACCTTGAGAGCACACCTTGGAGAAATCCATTTCCTAGACTAGCACTTTAAAATCTCATGACTAAACAATATACTATCAATAATGCTTCTCCCTTCAACAAATGCAGATTGGGAGCATCCCACTAATCCGCCAATTACTTGTTTAAGTCTCCTGGTTAAAACACCTTTGAAATGATTTGTACAGGGTAGTACAGCATGCTATAGTATATAGGGCTATAATGTCTACTGAAGCTTGTTTATTCTAAATATGTCCTAGGTATATCCTCTCTTCAGCAAAAGACTCTTCGGTGAAGCTTTGGGAAGTTGGCACAGGAAGATTGGTCAAACAATATCTTGGAGCTACACATACACAGTTGCGCTGCCAGGTATGTCAGGCTCACACAGTTTGCTTTGAAGAGTTCATGTTTCATGTCACAGTTTTTACTATCTATAATTTTGATGAACATTTTTTTTTTAATTATGTATTAGCATAGCCTAATTTGGCTGCTCCCTGTAGTTAAGCCGATATAGGCTTAAACAGAAGCAATAATCTGGAGTTACATATTTATGCAAATATCGATTGCTTTTCATTATTGAATATGCAATACATGGTATCATATGACAAGGCTGCTGGCGTCAGTTTATCATTCTTGTGAAAGCTTCTACTTGGATTCGTAACAGCTTCTTAGATATTCCGTAACTATCATGATCATTATGGAATTGCATGAATAAAATAGAAGCTAATACATTTGAAGTATCATGGCAACAATAATAGCTATGCTTCAATCCCAAGCTAGTTGGGTCGTCTATATGAATCTTCCTATCCAGGTACCCCATTTAGACCCATCTCAATCCAATATTCTGTCACATGGAAAGGAAAAATAGTTTTAGCTTAAGATGTAGGAATCTGTAAACTTATGATAATTTCTTGATTGAAGTTCAGGTAATTTTGAGATGTGATAGTCAGAGAGAACACCTAATGAAAGTGTTCCACATGGATTTCCGCATCTTCATGTTCATCTTCTGTAATTAGGATGCATTTTATATATGCACCAATCAAAGTGTTTTCCTTCTGTTTTCTTGTTTTTTTTTTTACTATGAGCTTTGATATTTTTACTTGTATGCTCTCACATTCTTGTTGACAATTGACAGTTGAAAATTTCTTTCAATGCAGGCTGTTTTCAATGATACAGAAGAATTTGTATTATCAATTGATGAATCTCTAAATGAGGTAAGTTTGTCTTTCTTTAATACGTACACAGGTAACACTACGGAGATTAATTAGGATGCTGGTCACAGATTGTTGCATGGGATTCTCTGACAACAGAAATAGTGGCTAGATGGCCCTCCAACCATATTGGTGCACCCCGTTGGCTTGAGTATTCCCCAGTAGAAGCTGCATTTGTGTCTTGTGGGATTGACCGATCCATTCGGCACTGGACTTAGTGCCACTATTGAGCCAGCAGCATTAGTAAAGCCAGAGATATGCCAATGTAATTTAATAAGCTTGCTGTAACCTGTAAGAAACTCTCAGCACACTTGTTTGTTGTATACTTGAGAGAAGAGAAAGAGGCATTCGGAGGAAGGTCAACCTAGCAAAACTCTTAACCTCTTTTTGGCTGTGCAGTGGGCTAAGTAAATGGAAATGATTTATGCATCCTCTCTGCCTCGATTCTTTCCCTTGTTGGTGAACGAAGAAGAGGCAATGAGCTACAAGGCAGATTTCAAGTTGGTTCAATGGTCAGGCATGATGGTTAATCTCCTAGCTGACCTTTGCTGATCAACCAAACTGCTTTTAAGGGAAGATTGAATATTGCTCGATGGACATGTATTCAGTTGTTTTTTTATCTGTCCGGCAGGATTTCTTTCCAAGTTTTTGTAATTGATTGAAACTATTACACAATGTGGACATAAGCTTGATGATCCTTTTGAGATTCTTTGTAGCAACCTTGTACCCTCTAATAGGATATCCACATCTCTTTGCCATGGATAGCTGCACTGTACCAAAAAGAAAATTTTCTTCTCACAGTAGATATTTCTTCCATTTCGAGTTATGTTATATTTGATGCTTGTTAAAATGAGCTCCATTGAGACTGAAATTAAGTAGGAGTAGAATATAGCTTGACAATGACATTCCTGTTCCCATATTGTTCTGTATTTGTCACCTAAATAAAACAACGTGAGAAATAGCTCTGTGGAGGCTAAAGGTAGTAAGCAAGACCAACCTGATGGCCTTGATCATTGTAAATTTACATTAGTTTATAAGTTATTGCTAATCATTCTAGCGAAGTTTGGCATATTATTTTAAAGCAGCTTAGCTCCATTAAAACTAGTTATTTTGAATTTTCTGATTGACATGCACAAATACACTATAAGTTTAGTTCTTCGCTAGTCAAAGATAGTATAGTATAAAGATCGTTTCCACAGGGATTGGTATAGATAATAATTCAATCAAATCTTGCTAAATATTATTCAGATGATCAAAAGAAGAGAGTTGGTTGTGGTTATGAACCAGTATTATCGACTAAATGATAATTAAAAACAATTGGTAACTATGAAGTTTAATATCAATAATAGAAGATAAGGTACAAGACGAAACAAGTGCATAATGATAGTTGAGAATTGACCACGTTCATTTATCACATATAAGTTCTATAGATTCTCTCGAATTCGATAGTTGATTAGAGTATCTTAAGCCTCAGATTTCTCTTCCGAGCAAATCTTGAGTTAAAGTATAAGCTAATTATATGTCATGACCCAAAGTACACCCTAGACGTGACATGACATATAAGACCCCGAGAGGTCCTACACAAATCACTTGACATACATTCAAACAATATAATAGAAATAAGAGAAATCATATCAAAGTAAAACGTTTGACATATAAGTGGAATTTTAATATAGCCTTGACAAACCATCTATTACATCAAAGAAGTGGTTGGGACATAACCCGTACCCCATGTACAATGTCTGAAAACTAAAACATAATGACAATGAAGTAAAGGTAACATGGTCCCCGAAACATGAGGACTCACCAACTCTTGAACTTCAAATGCTCAAGCCAACTAGCCACTAACGGGATGAGAAAGATCGCCGGACCCTACATTAGTGAAACAATGTAGGAACAAGTATGCATTAGTACATGGAATGTACTAAGCATGAGAGATATGCACGAAACGTAAGACATGATAATAAGAAGACATAATCGAAACATGAAATACATGACCAAGCTAAGCATAGTAAAACATTTAAAGAAACATCATAAATCACGAACATGGTCAACACATTTTAAAATCATAAGGAAAGCTTCATTTAAAATCTTGATATAAAACATAAATCATTTTTTTGGGATATTAGCTTTAACCGACAATAGACCATGCGAGCTATAACATGAAATCCGATGTAACTCCCACATCGAGAAGGGAGAGTCTATTTGCCAAGGTAGTTCTCTGCATCATATCATATGCTATATGTGGATCCACTAGCTAGGTCATTTAAGGCAAGCCTACGGGGGCACATAGTTTGGAACTAGAGGTTGCTACTAGAGACTCCCCTATTTGAGCCTCCGCCTCAAAGTTCTCTAGGTGCTATGTTAAAACTCAACAGAATAGTCAATTTCATAAACATATCATCATCCACGGAAAAGTACAATTCAAATAATAGTCCAAGCTTAAAACATTATAGAGTAGCTCATTGAATCTTGAATAAAACATGTGTGAGAAAATCGTTTACAATTTCGTTGATGCTCATCTTAAAGCAACCTAAGTCATAATACATTTCTTTTTTATAAATCATGCATAGATTCATGAAAACATCAAATCATAGATTCATAGTTCCTTCGTAACTTCATGTCTTTTAGGGATCATAGTCAAAATCATGATCAATGCATGGATTCATGTGATTTCAATAGGAAAGAATATAATTGGATTAAAACAATCATAATAAGATCAAATTCAATCAATTGAATCAACATAAATAGAACTCATGAAGAATCGAATGAAAACCTCATCAACTTGATTGAAATTGAATTAGAGAATTAGAGAAAATCTTAGGGCTTAATGGGTGAATGAAACCCATTAATGAAGCCCTACATACCTTGATGTTCTAAGCCTAAAAGCAATGGAGGAAAAAAGAGACTTGAAGTTTGAACCCAAGATTTCTCCCTTGAAACTTGAGAAGATTTGGAGGGGATGAATTTGGATGGGATTTAGGGATTTGAGAGATTGAGAGAGTTGAGCCAGTTTTAGGAATTAAAAAAAAATAGTTATAGGACTTAGAAATTGGGTAAAACGACGTAGTCTAGGTATTAGATGCATAGGAAAAGACTAAATACCCTTAAAAATAACTGTCAGATGGCTCCTACGGTTATGACCTACGACTCATAAGAGTTTCTAAGCCTAACCTGGTCAATAATGGAACCAACTTCAGAAACCCAAAAATTCAATCATTTCCCACGAAGCCTTTCTACGGTCCGTTAAATTTTCTACAGTTCATAGATCCCATCCGTTGAACCCAAGTTTAAGTCCAAAATTTCACTAAGTCTGGAACCTTCCTACGGAACCCATCTAAACTCGTCATTTTTCTATAGTTCATCATGTTCACTCGTATGTCACACTTCAGAAACTTAATTTTCCACAACTCCATTCTAGCTCCTGTGATTCCATTCCTACGGCTCGTTGGAATTCCTACAGGTTGTAGGTTTCTCTCACAGACCAATGCTTCAGAGAATTTCTGCACTTTTTCTTTCCTTTCTCATATTTCCAACTTTCGAGGTGTTACAATATCTCCCTCATGGGAACATTCATCCTCGAATGGGACGCAAGCTAGCATGAATAAAGTAGGAGAGAAACTAACAACCCATCATGGATGCAAATTTCATCAAATGCACATAAACATGGAGAATCACTCAAAGCTAGCTCGTAACATAAAAAATTGAGTCTTCATGAACATACAAGCATATGGAAACATGAGAATGACTAAAACACATGGATCTAAAAGAATGAACCGTGAGGAACTAATATCTCAAGCTAGAACAGAAGCGGAGGGAAAGAGATGAGGATACCGAGACATCATATCGGCTTCATCCTCCTAAATAGCACCCTCAACTAATTGGTACCTTCAAAGAACTTTCACAGAAGCAACTTCTTTGTTTATGAACTTCTGGACTTGCTGGTCTAAAATCTCAACCGGAACCTTTTCATAAGAAAGATTTCCTTTAACTTCCCCCTCCAAAGGAACAATAGATTTTAGATCTCCAACACACTTCTTCAACAAAGAAACATGAAATATTGGATGTACCGATGCTAAATCATTAGGCAACTCAAGTTCATAAGCAACTTTGTCAATACACCTTAAAATCTTATATTGACCCACATAATGGGGACTAAGCTTCCCTTTCTTTTCAAACCTCATCACACCTTTCATGGATGAAATTTTCAAGTAGACCCAATCATTAACTTCAAACTCAATCTCTCTTCTTCTAACATCGGCATAAGACTTTTGTCGACTTTGAGCCATTTTCAACCTTTCACGAATAAGTCAGAGCTTTTCCATAGCCTTGTACACTAACTCGGGCCATACCAAAGCAACCTCACCAACGTCAAACCAACCAATAACATACCTACACCTCGTACCGTAGAGATCCTCAAACGGTGCCATCCCAATGCTAGAATGATAGTTATTATTATAAACAACTCAATCAAAGGCAAATGATCATCCCAACTTTCCTTGAAATCGATCACACAAGCTCTTAGCATATCTTCCAAAGTCTGAATAGTACACTCGGCTTGTCCATCGGTCTAAGGATGAAAAGTCGTGCTAATTTTCACTTGAGTACCAAGACCTTTCTGAAATGACTTTCAAAACTAAGATGTAAGTTGAGTACCACGATCGGAGATAATTGATAAAGACACTCCATGTAACCTTACCATTTCCCGAATATAAAGCTTGGCGTAATCTTCTAATGAGAATGAAGTTTAAATAGGAAGAAAGTGAGCCAATTTCTTCATTCGATCCATAATGACCCAAATCGAATCAAACTATCGACGAGTGTGAGGTAAGCCTGTAATGAAGTCCATGTTTAAATCTTCCCAATTCCATGTAGGGATACTGATTTTTTGAGACAAACCACCCATTTTTTTATGCTTAACTTTCACTTGTTGACAATTCAGACATTTAGCCACGAATCCCGCAATATCCTTCTTCATCACATTCCACCAATAGACATCCCACAAATTACGGTACATATTGGTGGATCCTAGGTGAATAGAATACCGAGAATTGTGAGTCTCTGTCAAAATTTGATTCCTCAACTCATCAACACTCGAAACACATAACCGACCTTGATATCGAAAGACACCATCTCCTCCTTGGAAGAAAGCCTGAATGGATTTTTCGAAAACTGACTTATTTAAGTCAACCAATACCAGATCAAGATCTTGCTTAGCCTTCATATTCAATATAAAAGAGGATTCATAACCATTATGAACAACTACACCACCTTCATTGAAATCAACCAAGTGAACACCCTATCGGGCCAATCTATGAACATCACAAACTAACTCTTTCTTATCATCCTCTACATGAGCAACACTTTCCATTGATAGTCGACTAAGAGCATCGGCCACCATATTCACTTTTTCGGGATGATAGAGGACACTCATGTCGTAATCCTTCAATAACTCAAATCACTTCCTTTGACAAAGATTCAAATCCTTTTGAGTGAAAACATATTTCAAACTCTTGTGGTCGGTAAACATATCTACATGAACACCTTACAAGTAATGTATCCAAATCTCTAGGGAAAACACTACCGTTGCTAACTTCAAATCATGAGTCGGGTAATTCTTCTCATGCATTGTTAATTGTCTTGAAGCATAAGCAATGACTTTCCCATGTTGCATCAAAACACAACCAAGAACAATTTGTGAAGCTTCATAATAAACCTCAAAATCATTCGATCCTTCCGGCACTGACAATATAGGGTTGACGTGAGTATATCTTTCAATTCTTGAAAACTCTTCTCACAAGCTTCTGACTATAGGAATTTCACCTTCTTTT